TTACACAGTGGGGTCGGGGAAGCTCTGCTGGAGCTTAAGGACGCAATGAAATCAAGCTCTGTTTAAAACTTTGAAATAAAACTATTTACAGTCACTCAGCACCTTCGCAGCTGCAAAAAAAGATGGTACATTCCGATCTGTTTGCACAATGTCATGTGTCAGGACAAAGATATGCTGTGCATGTCTTAGGAGAAATCTTCAAAAGACAGACTGACAAGATTGTAAGGCTGAATAGCTTGAGAAAAAAAAAAGTTTTGTGATCATAAAAACTGTGATTATCATTTAAAATGTGATTTAAAAAAAAAATCCAGGTTTGCTGTGCTTGTTTGTAATTTTTTTTGTGATTATTATTACTAAATAAAAATATAATAATTACTAAAAACTATCCAGTTAAATAAAATGAATATAATAAAATAAAAATAAGTATTGTGATTATTATTGCTAAATAAAAATATAATAATTACAAAAAAAATAATAATACATGTAAAAAAATTAATTGATTAAAAAATAAAAAATATTATTGCAATATTTTACACTAAAATCGAATTAAAATCAAGCAAAAATAATATAATAGTAATTTTATACAGTATTAAACTGCGACTGTTAAAGGGGTCATATGATACGATTTCAATTTTTCCTTTCTCTTTGAAGTGTTACAAGCTCTTGGTGCATAAAGAAGATCTGTAAAGTTGCAAAGACTAAAGTCTCAAATCCAAAGAGATATTCTTTATAAAAGTTAAGAGTCAACCACGCCTACCTAAAATGGCTCGTTCTAACACGCCCTCACGTCTACGTCACTGTGCACCGGATCGGCTTTCACCGCGGATGAAGCGGAGTCCAGCACAGAACAATCCCAGATGCCAGACAGGGCATCACAGTATGGTAAGGGGCGTAACATTTCCGTCACACGCTTGAGGTATTCGGCCAATCACAACGCACTGGATAGCTGGCCAATCACAGCACACCTCGCTTTTCAGACCGATGAGCTTTGTAAAAATCGACGCGTTTCAGAAAGGCGGGGCATAGAGGAGAAACAATAATGTACAGTATGTGGAAAATTGTGTGTTTTTTTAACCTTAAACAGCATAAACATTTCATTACACCAAATACACAAAATAATATTCTTTTTAGCAACATCATATGACCCCTTTAAATTTCAAAATTAATATTTATGGCTGTTTTCCTTACTGAACTTGCAGCACTACATGATCATCAAAAGATACCTATCCTGGAAGCAGCCAATCATAATGCAATACTGTCCTAAGAAATCCTGCATAGGCTGCCGCAGAACTAATGCATCTGCTGTAATTAACAGCGGTCTGTGATTAACTCCGTAGGGGAGCCCCTGGCAGACTCCATTATCATTCTAACGGGTCATTTGAGATCCTAATCAGAGGCTGGTACTCAAAACTGAAATACAAAATGTATTTCTATTACCAACAAAAACCATCCATATATTTAGGCAAACCTTAATTCAAAGAGTCAAACCGTGTTCCACACTGTATATGGATACAGCCAGCAAAGAATGCTCATCGTGGGTGAAACAAACTTGGTCACCATAGTTAATTACAAATTAATTTCTATGGGGAAAAATTAGGAGAAATATATATTTAACATTTTCTAAAATAAATGACATCACAAAAATAAAAGTCCAGCAAAAAAAGAAGACTGCTGTGAATTCAGCAACAACCATGTAAATATATCTTACATTTGAACATGCATGTCCACAACAGATTTTACTTCCCATGTTACAAACAAATAAATAGTAAAAGTAAATCAAATTATAAAGTACTAAAACAGCAAATCTCAGAAAATGACTTCATTTTATTCAAATAAAGCAAAACTACAACTTTATGATTTTTTTAATTCACTCCAAGTTATGATGTATTGTTCACACACCGTTCAAAAGTTTGGGGTGCGCAAGGTATTTTTTTTTCAAGAAATGACTTTTATTCAGCAAGGATGCATTAAATTAATTAAAAATAACAGTAAAGACATTGATAATATTAAAAAAGATTTCTATTTTAACTTCTTACTTTTGAACTTTCTATTCATCAAAGAATCCTAAAAATATTCAGCACAACATTGATGATAATAAGAAATTATTATCATCTGAAAAGTTATCTGAGCACTAAATAGGCATATTCTAATGATTTCTGAAAGAACATGTGAGTGAAAATTAAGCTTTGCCATCACAGGAACAAATTACATTTTAGAAGATATCTAAACGGAAAACTGTTATTTAAAATAGTACATTTACATTTCAAGATATCACTGCTTTTACTGTCATTTTGTTGAAATAAATGCAGTCTTGGTCAGCGTAAAATACTTCTTATTAAAAAACAATATAAAAAAATCTCAATGACCCCAAACGTAAGCTTGCCAAACACTAGAGGATCAAGGCGGTTTTTTTTTTTTTTTTTGTTATATTTTTGGCATTTTATGCCTTTGTTTAGACAGTAGGTCGACAGGAAGCGAAGTTGGTGAGAGAGGGGGGGGGATGGGATCGGGAAAGGTCTGCGAGCCGGGACTTGAACTCGGGACGCCCAAAGCACTACGGCACTACATGTCAGCGTGCTGCCCACGAGGCCATCGTTGCAGACACGGACGATTTTAAGCCCGGTTTGACCCCCGAACGATCAGGGCTGGTCGAAAGCGATTTTTTTTGTCCAAAAAATCCTCTATTGTGTGGTGTCATTACGATTATTTAACTGCTCCGATGTTGCATTCTTCTATAGCTGAAACTTGGCAGCCACAAAAATGCCACGAAAGCAGAATACATCACCCATATTCTTTTTATACTTTGTTTTTCACTGTGAAACAGAACGCGCGCCGGGAGAGCCAGCTGACAACATCGATTGTCTTCCATTTGTTTTTCTGCTGTAGTCACGTTTGATCTCGGGAGTCTCCATGAGATCTCATGTCACTGTGAAATCGTTCCTACAATCGACAAGTGTGTGGTCTTGCGGTCTGGTCGAATCGTCTAGTGTGCGCGTTCAGAGGATTATAAGGCTAAAAATCAGTTAGACTTCTAATGTGGCGCTCAAAGTAAAAATGATTTCAACAGCGTTTTTCATTTTGTCTCTCTTTGAATGAACAGCGTTTTTGAACGTGTAGTTAAATAAACGGTTTAAAGACTCACTCAAAGACAGTCCCTTTCCACCACCTTATTGCGCAACAATGTAACTGCACTGACTGACAGCCCGTCTAGACTGCACAGGTGGAAATATCAATAGAAAGTCTCTTGTCCAGTCGGATTCGAGGATCAGAACGAACTGTTATACATATAGGCTAACAATAGCCTAACAATCTTATTGTCAGGTTTCTGTTCTGTTATGTGGATCGTTATTTTGTCATTCTCTTTTGTTACTTCACTTCCTGTTTCAACGCTATTTGGTTTCGGTTTCTGAATATGACCTCGTTATATCGTAACACATACACACACACATTATATATATATATATATATATATATATATATATATTT